CCACTCCCAACAGGAAACGAGGGGGTTGTGCAAACGGTTAGCTCTTACTATACGTGGCGAACGCGATCGAGAAGGTTGAATTTGAAATTCCTGCGGTCGCAGCCGTTTGCTATCCACCTTGTCAAGCTAGCCCTTGCATGCGCGAGGCGGTTGTCTGTGTTCCCAGCGATCTGCGCACAACGAATCTTCAGTGCGTGGTCTGTGCAAAGAACACTTCCAAATATCGACCAAGATGTCCCACCCAAAGCAGTGTATATAGCTAACGCTGGAGAAAAAACTCGCTTTATTCAAGGAAGTGGAAAAAGCATGTCGAAACAAGTCGTGCATCGCCAAAGAATTTGGCATCCCTTTGTCAACCCTCTCGACAGTGCTTAAGGACAAGCAAACAGTTTTGGAAGGCTTCGAGCAAAGCTTCTTGAGCAAGCGAAAGCGCATTCGAGCTTCCGAATTCCTAGACGCTGAAGCAGCACTTCTGTTGTGGCTCCACAACGTTTGAGCAGCCAATCTTCCAGTGACAACCCAAGTGATGATGAAAAAAGCAGATGCTTTGGCACTGCAGATGGGACTTTAGCAGCAGCAATGGCTGGTTCGAGGGGTTTAAGAAGAGAAACAACATGTTATAAAAGCCTATCACGGCGAAAGCGGCATTGTCGACAAACAGGCTGCAGACGCATGGCGCAACCTACGCCTCGCTGCACTGCAAAAGGAGTACGCGGACAAGGACATTTTTAATCTCGACGAAGCCCCTTTCTTTTATAAGATGTTGCCTAACCACACCTACACACCAAAAGGCGAAGCGTGCTCAGGCGCCAAGCAACGCAAAGACAGAATTACCATTCTTTTCGGTGCCAATGCTACTGGCAATGAAAAGCTGCCCCTCCTCATCATAGGCAAGTCGCTGAATCCCAGGTGTTCTCGAAATGCACGGCTCCTGAGAGATGCGACCTACCGCGCAAATAAAATGGCCTGGATGACGGCAGTGATTTCCCAAGAGCATGTCCGTGCACTTGATTGGAAGATGGCTAAGAATGGTCGTAAAGTGTTGTTTGTTGTGGATAACTGTCCCAGTCACGAAAAAACTGACAACTTGGCGTCTGTTACGCTGGAGTTCCTGCCGCCAAATATGACGCCTGTTCTCCAGCCTATGAATCAGGGAGTCATTGAGATGGCCCGGAAATATTATAGGAAAAGCCTGCTGCACCGTATTCAGCTGTCATACAACAATGGGAAGAAGTATAAGATCGATCTGCTCGGTGCAGTCAATCTGATGGCCAAAACCTGGCGCCAACTACGCCCGCTGGCTATTGCCAGCTGCTTCGCTCATGCAGGGTTTTCTCGCGCCCGGCATCTATTGAAGAAGACATTGGTGCGGAATTCAGCGGCTGTGATAAGCTGTGCAGTGACTCAAGGCAACCGGCTGCGTGAGCGATACTGAAGATGGCGAGATTGTTTTTGAGGAGTACGCGCTCTATGACGTGGACGTCCCCGTTACCGGTATGCTGTCAGACACAGATATCGTTTTAGATAGCCATGAACAACGCAGATGACCATGCAGTAGAGGAAGAGCCCTGAGAAGTGCCTACGACGACAGAAATGCATGACATGCTGTGCTTGCTCCGCAACAAGGTCGAGTGCAGCGGTGGCGACCAATGGCTCATGTGATGTGTTGAGCAACTGGAAAACGCCTTTCTTGGACCGAACGCGAACACGAAACAAGCAAGCATCACGCAGTTTTTTGGTCCTCAGTAAGAAATTATTTTTTCCTGCGAATTCTTGTTCCTTCACTACAGTAGCTCTCTCGTGCAGTGTGGCTTTTCCCTACAACACTGGCTATTCTATTGCAGTGACCTGGGCAAACATTTTCGGCGCTTTGCTTAACTCGAAATACCTCTTACCTAGAAATTTTCTCCAGATTTGACAGCTTCGAGTCAACGAGAAATTACTGTAGTAGAGATGGAAAGATAGAGGGGGACACTCCCTCGAGCAGTTTGGACGACCTGTCAACAGATTTGAGTGTTTGTGCCCAGTATTTAAGGACCCTAGTTTGAGGGAAGTTTTCAAAAAAGTGATTTCGCACTGACAGCCTGTTTTACTGCACTTGTCTGATCGGTGAGTGCACTCGTCCAAAGAATCCAAAAATCCAGTCTCTTCGTACGCATGCCGGCGAGCTGGCTCAGCCGGGTCAGGGAGCACAAAATATGTGAGTAAATATTTTCTTTTTTTCGCAAAGCTGACAAAATATTAGGGGTGCCCAATTATGCAATGGCACAAATTATGCGAGTAAATATGGTATTAAAAAATATTCGATGCGATTCGCACTCGCACGTCCATACTCGAATTCGCTTCGCACCCTAAATTTTGCTATTTGCACAGCTCTAGTTAAAAAGTAAAGCACCATTCTGAGACAATGTCAAAAACTGCATAATGTAAAAATGCAACACTGAAAAAAAAATGCCAGTGAATCATACATTTTGCCCCTACGCCTCACGAAAACTACGAAATTCTCCACCACACAGCACAAATAATGAAGCGGTTGTCTTTGCCTGTGGTTAGTACAGTCGAGCCCACATATAACGGCCCCACTTAAAACGAACTTTCGCTTAAAACGAACAATATCGGCGTGACCGTCAAAATATACATTGGTTCAATGGCACAAAATCGCACTTACACCGAACGTCTCCGAGCGCCGCTGATCGGTTACAGCGAACGGAGTCAGTGGTCTGCCGACTTCCCGGGAAACCGATTTCGACCACCGACCAGGAATCGAGGTGCCCATACATTCTTGTTGTTAAACGCCGACCGTGCCTTTGCGCCCCTCTAGTTGCCGCTCTCCCCGACCGCTTTTTGTTATGCACCCGTCTGTCCTTTGTCTCCCCCGCTACCCTGGGTACCCCGCATCGCTAGACGAGGCACGTGTTTTCACACTGCCACCGATCTTTCGAAGACCGGTCGGCCATCTACCCGGTTTTTGATCGCTGGTACTGTCGTTGGCGTTGCCGGCCTGGAGTGATCAGACCATTTGCCAACATCGTCGGCCACAGACTGTATCCGGTAGTCTGCGTCTAGTGCACGCGCATACGCTACCCCACTGACTCTGATAATTTGTGATTAGTTTCCTGTTTAGGGCTTGTTTTCACTCACTTAGCACTCGACTAAGCATGCCTTCCGCGCACGTGCGAAAGCGCGGAAACGGCTGTTAATTTGCGCGGAACGAATCGTGAAACATCGAAGTTCGTGAGGCCAAGCAAACCCACCGGCGCAACGAAACGATTTTTCGACAACGGCCGCCGATTCTTCGAACATCGCCACGCGCACCGATTCAGGCGGCTATGCACTCTTTCCAAGTTTTTCTACGTGCGAGTTTCACGGACCTTTCAAGCAAGCTACCCAACCTGCCTCCTTCCCGTGTGTTTTGGTTTTCAAGGACGCCCTCCCGCTGCATCCTCCCCTCTCTTTATTGCAACTCCTCGCCCTTCTCTCGAAAGTCTGCTCACCTTTCTTGATCACAACCCCTTCGCCCTTCTCCGCCGCTTCGCGACGCCCGCCACACGCTGGCTCGAATTAGTTTCGTTTTCTGACTGGAAACGGGCCTAGAGCTGTTCCACGCACTCTAGCATGTGTGTCGCGTGTGCGCATCTTGCTCGCTCTTGGTGTGCATGTGTGGTCATGATGGCCGACGGGAGGACTAGCACGCTTTTTCGTGCCGCTCAACAAAACCTCGAAAGTGTGACCGCTTGGCTTGAGCGTAATCAGCGCGCTAGGTGCCGCGTTGCGGAGCGCTTGCTCATAGCTGTTGACCGCCTGGCAGCCAACTTGCCGCTTCGCGAATCCCTGTATTCAGCTGTGGAGATGGTGAATATTTCGTGGGCAGCGGTGACGACTACATGCACGCGAAACTGTTTTCGCTAGGCCGACTTCGTCGACGTCGGGCCCGATGCTGAGCCTGAAGCTTACGAACTGCGGCGGTGATTTTTGGTCACGCATCGTCGGCTTCAACCTGGGAGACCGGTTGGGACATCTGTTGCGATGGTTTAATTACGGCCAATGATGATGCCGACACTGCAGAACCGTGCACGGATTGGGGCATTGTGAATTAAGTACGTGGCGAGAGCGATTTGGAGGAATCGGATTGCGAGAACGACGAAACTTTGGAGCCAGTGCCTTATGCAGCTTATGCCGCGTACCTTGGCGAACGAGCACCCTGTCATTTTAAGTGAACTCGAGACCGCCCTTATCGCTTCTGCTCTTCGAAACACGTGCATCGCAGACTTTTTGGGGCAAAAAAAGTTTGTGTTTTCACTCGCAACTTTTTTAAAAAGCTGTGTTTCATTTACTACGAACTTCGGGATACAGCGAACGGATGCCGCGTCACGCTCAGATTAGTTATAAGCGGGCTCGACTGTATTTACTTTTTCATGAACTGTAGATCTTCAAAGCATATTCTGATGATATGTGGGGTTTATCGTCCCAAAACCACCATATGATTATGAGAGACGCCGTAGTGGAGGGCTCCGGAAATTTCGACCACCTGGGGTTCTTTAACGTGCACCCAAATCTGAGCACACGGGCCTACAACATTTCCACCTCCACTGGAAATGCGGCCGCCACAGCCTTCAAAGCGTATTCTCTCCATTGGTTTTAACGTGAATGGTTTTCTATATACCATCTCTCTCAAACTTGTTCATGTTATTCAAATGGCCACTAAACAACCTTTTTTGTTTTAGCTGACAGGTGCAACTGAATTCTTTTTTGTGTTTTCTGTTTTCAGAAACACCATTTCATTGTTTATAATTCGCTGTCTTTTAATGTGTGCTACAATATCTGTAAAGACAATTTTTTTCCTAAGACCTATAAAAATGTAAATTTTTTTTCATAATGAAAGTTACATCGAAAGAGTTACAATGCAACCTAGTCATAATTCTATTGCCTATACACAACTATGTATAGAAACAGGAATTATATTCATTTGCTGTTCCCGAAACAGCAAAATTCACACTCACTTTTCTCGAATGGCTTCAGAGCAACCCTCGGCAATCATAGCAATGGCAAGATAGGCAGCCCGTCTTTGAGAGGCACTGTCGCTTTTCACACGCTTGTTAATATGTTGAAACTGCATTTCACCAAAGAAAAAATATCATTAATGCAAGTAAAATAGTGCGACACCTCAATAAACCCTAGAATTACGCGGCAATAGAAAGGAATCAGAGTGGCCCCTCCCCCCCCCCCTTTCCTGTCTGATAATTTGCATTAGCATTGTAACCGGCAGTGCGAACTTAACTGTAAATGGGGAGGGGGGGGGGGGGGGCTGAATGCAAAGGGTAGCAATGATGAAGTAGCCTTTGTAAGTAAATAAATTAATAAACATGAAAATGTTCAGACAGCTGCATTGCAACTACTGTAGGCCTCCGGTGCAGAAGTCTGACGTTCTAACAACTATGCTGCAGGCACACAGGCACATGCCTCATGAAGTGAAATACAAGACAGTCTTAAGGGGGCCCTGCAACACTTTTTGAATGTATTCAATAAGTGTTGCCCATATGTAGTCAGGCTCCCGTGAACACACGAGACAAATTTTATTGAACCGCATGCAGCAGAGAACTGAGAATTTATAGTAAAAAAACAGAAAAAAAATCATTGGCACTCCTACTCAGAAATAAAATAACTACACAGCCAACAGCAGCAAACATATGCGACCAGTACTGGGCGCATTCGTGAATGGTGTTCCATTGTCATCCCAAAACCCTGCGCTACATCGTGTAGGTATGGCAATAACCAACAGGGTGCCATAACGGCCGAGTGCCACACAAGTCTGAACCAAAAGTAAAGGCCACCAATGAAAACAATAAATAAATAATAATAATAGAATGCTCAAAGCCATGATGTGCAGCTTTTCGATCGTACATCACCTACCTGCCATTTCCCTTGGTACAGCTTCCGGCACGCTCGGGGCGGTAAAAAATAGGGAGAAAAAATGCTCGTTTTGCGAGATAACTTCACTAATATTTGGTGAATTCAAGGGAGCTTCACAAGGAATGCTACTCTCTAATTTATGAGGATAAACTGAAGAAATTTGGCACACAGATGTAATTTACTATACTGATATAACTGGAACCACTATTGAGCTATCTGTTGTAGCTTTGAGTTACAACACTTGATAGACTCTCATTGTCATTCCCAAGTGAATTAATTAGACATAAGTTTGTCAATACAGTAAATCCTCATTAATTCAGTCACTGGGACAGTAGGAAATCTTCAAAATAAGTGGATTTTCAAATTAACGAAATGTACAGAAAATGAGATGCAAGAAACTAAATATTGCCACAAACATAAGAGAATGCCTGACCTGGCTGCTGTGACTGCATGAAAAAAAGGGGGGGGGGAGAGGGGATGAGAGATTTTTTTGACAGGCTGCAATGCACTCCTGCGAGAGAAAAAAAGCGTGTTTCACTGCACTATAGCAGTGACATGCAGGCAGCATATCACCTGCTTCCTCCAGCGTCTGTGCATCACAATGAGACCATTTTTTCTGTTAAAATAGAGAAATTATTATGGTGGCCAATTTGACGGAATTCGCAACATGTTATAGCTGGAAAAAATGATCATTGAAGTTTTCGAACCGATATTTAGAAGTGGGTGTTGCAGGCGAAAACTCTGCCAGCAGTTCAAGTGTGCAAATTGCTAGAGCAACTACCAATCGGAGGTTCGCATACATCACGAATTCCGTCAGACTGTCCTTTCTTAATTTCTTTATGTTTTCATAAAGAAGAGTAAATCATGCCATGCTGATGCTGTGAGAACCATGTGGCATGCTGCTTGCATGTCATGGCTGTGCTGCAGTGAAACGTGTCTTCTTTTCCACAGGTGCAGATTTCAACTCACCCCGACAACAATTTTTTGCCCTCTTTAGGCGGTAGCAACAAAACTGGGATGCTTCACCTGTCATTCACCTGTATAGCCAGACTGCATTGCCTTGTGGCTTTTATAAGCCACCGTTTTCGCGAATTCGTGGCGAAATCAGCAAGTGCAATCGGCACATGGCACCCGAAATTTTCCAATTAACCGAGCCAATGCTGATTCCGAACACTTTGAACAGACCTTTCCAGACATCGCAGCGCCGCGTCTTTCCCTGGTGGACCGGTGCTGGGGCATTATGGGAGAGCGGAGCATCGGTGCTCAGAGCAGACAATGCTTTCCAGCTTTCGCCTGCTCTCATCGCGCACTGCGAGTGGTTTTGGCTGGTATAGAGCTGCTATTTTGAAGAAACGTTTCTTCTGATCGCTCTGACTTTCACTCACAGATACTAGATTGTGTTGTTCGTCGCAAATAACCATAATCATCACTGAAAATGCCGAATAAGGAAAACAGCGGACACACTTGCTCGGTTCTGGGATGTGATAATACGTGAAAGTCACTGGATGTTTCATTCATTGCTTACCCGCCCCGGTGGTTTAGTGGCTGAGGCACTCAATTGCTAGCCCGCAGGTCGCGGGGTTAAATGCCGGCCGCGGCGGCCGCACTTTTGATTGCGGCAAAAATGCTTCAGGCCCATGTGCCTAAATTTCTGGAGCCCTCCACTACGGCGTCTCTCATAATCGCATGGTGGTTTTGGGATGTTAAACCCCAACAATTATATTATTCGTTCATTGCTTGGTGCTACTTCATGGCTTCGATATTTGTGGTGCTGCAGCTAAGTTGGACCTTTGTTATTGGTGTCCTCACTGTGATTATGGGGCTGGGATTTTACACTTGCAGCTTACACTGTAATTAACTATGCGAATTTATTAAGGCAGAAGCCTCAAATACCTCATTATAAACTCACACGGTTCCCTATTCATCTGCCTAAGATGATTTGATGGAGAAGGCCATCTTATTTTTTTTTATCAGTCGATGTACTGATCCTACCCCGCCACTCTATGACTGTCAGCAAGCTTTTGCCGTGGGTACGAACCCGTGTTGGGTCGCGGCTGGGGGAGAACACTGGTGTAGCTTGTGCGTGAATAAGTACCGATGTAGCTTGAAGGGGGCCAATGCCCCTTTTGCACCAAACGGCCGACGCCCCAGCCCGCCGTCATTCACACCACCCTTTGAAAACTTGCTGAACCTAACGGGGTTTGCACTGCCTCCAAAAACGGCGGCAGTGCAAAACTGATATTGCATTGCCTCTATGATGAGCACACGTTGCACCAAGCTTGGATGTCATGCGATGATGTGATCACGTGAAGTCACATGATGTTTTGATGACGTCACAATTTTCGGCGATCTCTGGCGTCATATATGTTGTCATTACGGGGTGGTTTTTTTCAAACACTCGACGTCGCCGACGCAGGACGCAAACGGTCGAGTTTCACGTTTGATCAGGCATCTAAGGTTTTCGCCTAAAAACAAAAATTGACCGTTGGTGGCTTTGGCGTCCCGCGGCGTCGGCGTCAACAGGAGTGATGCAAAAATCATCGCGTGATGGCGTCACCACACGGCGTCATCGTGACATCACGGATCACCGAATGTGTAAGGTCATCTGACGGTCCTGTGATCAGGTCATGAGACAACATCGCTGCTTTGCACTGCTTTGTTATCGTGTGATCCGCCCACCATTCACGGAGGCCGAGAGGAACCAGGTGAGGTACTGAAAGTTTGGAATGCCTCCAGTCATAAATCAGTGCAAAGTTGTTTTAGGTGCAGAAAACATTTGCGAGGCGGGGAGGACCAATAAATTGACCGAACAAAAAGAAACAGACGGCTGTCGCCTTCAGTTCACCTTGGGTGAATGCATAAGAAACCATGCTGGTTTCTTTTTTTGCGCTGTTACGTAGTGTTTATTTTGCTGTTTACTGTATGGTTATGTTCAACGCATCTGCTTTTTATTTAGCATAAACCTAGAGACCTCACCTATTTTTGCTTTGCGCCCCTCTCTATTTTTTTTTTTCCAGTGTCAAGGCAAAGAGCGCTAGCTGTAGTTTCATGATGATCCATACAAAAGCTACATTCGCATTCAGTTTTTCCAAAGTGACAGCTTATGTGTGCGCTGCTGTGGCCATCTATACCTTTCCCACACTCAATGAGGCTTTCACCATTGCTTTTAAAGTCATTCTGACCATTACCAGCCTTCCACAACAAATATTTCTGGCTTAAACCATCTGCGCCCATATAGTGAGTGCTTATTAGCACCGTAAGAATGTTCATGCTGCACAATTTTTCCTTCTGAATACCCCTGAGGTGAGTTTTTTAGATGTTTTGTCCTTGGCCCTTTTGGCAAAGGTGACAGGAAGGTTGTATGTTTTCGGCCGCTTGGAGAGACAGATCTATACAAATGACAAATTGCTAAATTAGCATAATCATAAACTGTAATCAAACAAGAGATCCCGGGAGCTTAAACAGTATAATAGTATATTGTGTGAATTATGCACATTGACGCTCATTCCATTGTCTAGTTCTTCTAATTCTTAACTAGTCATGACCTTTTGCGCTGTCGGCTCCAAAATTCGAGTTAGTTTCCAATTCACAGCCGTGGAAACAGGAACTTCACAAAGACAGCAGGTTTTACGCTGTTTGAAAGCAAATACTGCATGCAAAGTATTCGCTCTATGGAAGTGCTGTTAGCTGGTTTTTACTTCTCTCAGCGTCCCAAGTACAAACTTTCTCACACGCAGCATTTGAAACAGGCAATTAGTATTCAAATATATACACATACCTTCCAAGTTAAAGGATTTTGAATCCGGGAGATTTCCGCAGTGAGGGGGGGGGGGGGGCTGAATTATTTGCTTCTATTTTTTACGGCACCAAAAAAATCCAAGGACCAACAAACAAACAAACATGAGGGGGTGGGGTTGGGGGTCTCAATCGCAAGCACAAACATTAGCGTTGCGGTCGGCTTGGAGTGGCCGAACATGCGAAGGTATAGTTTCCCACTAAGGTGAGAGTCTCAAAGGATCAACACAACTAGCAAAATTTATTTCCTACAAAAAACGTGAACGGACGGGACGGCGGAGCTGGCTGCCGCAAAAGCACGGGTCAAAGCTTTGCTCCCTACTAGATTCTTTTGACAGGAACACCAAAACGTCTGGCCCCTTTGTTATTGACAGTCTAGGCTGGTTTTTTACCGTCGCTGCGACT